CCGGGGAACACCTGTGGCTGTCGACACAACACAGAAATACAGAAAGATGAAGGATGTCCCTTCCAGATTCTCAGATTTGGGTCCAGGTACATGAGGCCACATGTGCAGGAACCGGGGCTCTGTTGGGCCACCTTCAGTTAGGAGGTGCTCAGGTGCACGCCGGGCGCTCCTGCCGTCAGGCTGCTGACTTAGCAGCTAACCTGTTAAGGGGGCCTCAGGGTGACTTGTCTCCTCTGGTTAGATGATGACACAGCCGACGATTCTTCGACATTGGAAGTTTGTTCCCGATGAAAGGCAGCGCCAGGATGAGAAGGGGGAAGCCAAGGTGGGAACGGGGGCTCCTTGGATCAGGGGTGGTTTCCGGGTGGTAAGAAGGGCTGTGCTGTGTGTACAGAGTGCGACCTGGGTGGCGACCTCTCCCTGTTACTCTTGGGGAGATTTGCCAGGGAGAAAGGTCATTCCATAGCCGCCCCCCCCCCAATCCTGAGCTTGGCACCTGCGCCTCCATGCCGCATCCTCTGCACGGCTCCCCATCCCCCAGGCCGTGTGTGGCCAGAGCTCCCTGCTTGTGCCACCAGGGTACAGGCCCGACTCCCTGTTCCCCTGGTTGGAAATCCCACACTGTGTTCTCTTTAACTATATGGTCCAATTCCCCCCAAGCACCTGCAGTCAAGGCTGCATGGGTGGAACAGTTTCCTCTAAAGAATGAGGAATAATTAAAGGAAATTAATTACCGCCAAGGATAAGAGCTTTAAATATTATACCTCAGATACGCCTGTTTCCCTAGTGGCGCGGGGAGGCAAGTTCAGCCCCTCAGAAGGGGTCATTTAAGAGCACCCACTATTTCTGTCTTGTCCTTCTGCCTTCTTCATCCTTGCTGCCAATGTTCTCCATCCCCTACAGCCTACTGCCTGCCCCACGGGGACTTCTCTGGCCCTGCTTCCATCCCCTTTCTCCAAGGAGCGCAATCCAGAAAGTGGAACCGTCCCAGCCGGGTTTTCAACGAGATAGTCACCCTGGAACAACATGAAGGGAATTTCAGCAGAAAGTCCAGGTGGGCTTTGGTTCTCGAGGCGGGGGGGGGGGGGGGGGTTGTCCTAAGATCACAGGATAAGTTGCTTCCGAGGGGTACCTAGTGCGTAACACAGCAAGCACGCGGGCCTTTCTCAGGGCCACCTCCTCCCTGCAGCGACAGGGATTGCATTCAGCCCTTCAGAAATTCCCATAGAAAACCCAGGAACAGGAACACTGCAGAAATCCAGATCTGTCTTAATTTTAAGTAAAAAACAGTTTTGGAAAACACTGCAGAATCACACTGCCGCCGTCACCCGATGTGTGTTATGTCTTTGGGGACACACTCTTCTTTTCAAGCTTTTCAATGCACCGAAAATAACGATCAGCTGACCCTAGAAGAACCTCCCGCCACGGAAATCCGCACATACCTTCCGACCTCCTAAAACGCAGCTACTGAGAGCCTGTGGGGGACCAGAGGCCTAACCTAACCATAAACCACCGATTAACACATATTTTGCGTATGTAGCATTGTATCCTGTATTCTTGCAGTAAAGTCCACTGGAGAAGAGAGAATGTTAAGAAAATCACAAGGAAGAAAAAATACATTTTCAGTGCTGTACCGGATCCACATTTTAAAAAACCCCTGTATACATGAGCTGGTGCAGTTCGAACTGATGGTCTTCAAGGGTCAGTTGTATTTTCCCAGCTGTTGTTTTTTTTTTCAACACCAAAGGAAAAAATTCAACTTAAAATGTCATTCTGGATCTGAAAGCAGTGGAATCTTAAGGTAATTATCCAGTTCTTGCCCCGGTGCTCACATAGAAGTTTAGGAAGTGGTCAGCGATAGTAACAAATGGGAACGCGGATTTTGCCCCAGACTTCTTTTTGTTCTGGAAAAGAAAGAGCATATTAAAGTGAATCTTCATAAGTAAAAAAAAAAAAAAAAAAGGAAGGAAGGAAGGATTTGGGCTAAGTGTTTAGGAAGAACAAGAAGTTGTAATACCGCACGAGGTTACTGATTAGGAGGGTAAAAAAAGCCACTTCACGTAGTTTCTGAATAGAAAATTAAGAGATTAATCAAAACTGTTAACAACTGGAAACCATCAGGCTTTGATTGGTTGAAGAATTTCAAAACGCATATGTGAAAATCTATTCTTTGAATAGGCATTAATTTTGCATCATTTAAAATTCAACATATACAAAAGAATGTATACTAAAAGAATTACCTACCATTCCGGTTCCCAGACATCATCTTTTCCTCCCTGGGGGCAACTCCTATTTTCCACTTCTTGGCTCTGCTTCTCGAGATATGTTATCAAGATGCAGATGTGCTGCGTTTAAATTCCTTCGGTATTTTAAAGCTTGTTATGTTGAATTATTTTACGGTCACAGGAAATAATACAGAGAGATTCCATAAACCCTTTACCCAGATTCCCTCTTGGTAACCTATAGTAGGGTGCCACAGGGTCCTCTCTATGGTGCAATATCACAGCCTTCACCCCTGGCCCCCCTTAAATTTTTTTTTAATTTATTTATGATAGTCACACACACAGAGAGAGAGAGAGAGAGAGAGAGGCAGAGACACAGGCAGAGGGAGAAGCAGGCTCCACACAAGGAGCCCGACATGGGACTCGATCCTGGGTCTCCAGGATCACACCCTGGGCTGAAGGTGGTGCTAAACCGCTGAGCCACCTGGGCTGCCTGATAACACTGATTTTTGAATATCAAACTACCCTTTCATCCCTGGAATAAACTCACTCATAGTGTATACTTCTTTCTCTTTTCTTCTTTTTATATATTGCTGATTTTTATTTGCCAATATATTGTTGAGTTTTTCACAATTATATTCACAGGGGATATTTGTAGATTTCTTTTCAAATAGTGTCTTTTTCTGACTTTGGTATCAGGGTACTATTAGCTTCATAAAATGAATTGGAAAGTGTTCACTCCTCTTCTAGTTTCTGAAAGGGACCGCAGAGTTGGTATTAACTTCTTTAAATGTATGATAGTTTTTCAGGAGTTCTCTAGGCCAAAATATTGCTTTCTTGGAAGTTTTAAAATTATGAATTAAATTCTTTTAATAGTTACATGGCTGTTCATATTATCTACTTCATAGAGGGTAAATTGTAGTAGTTTATAGTTTTCAAGGAACTGATCCAATTCATTGAGGTTGTCAAATTTATGAGTATAGAGTTGTTCCTGGTATTTTTTATTGTCCTTTTAATGTCTGTAGGGTCTATAGTGACATCCTCTGTTTTAATCCTGATTTTTGATCATTGGATTTTCTCTTTTTTTCTTAGCTTTGCTAGAGATTTGTGAATTTTATTGATTCTTTCAAAGAATCAGTTTTCAACTTCATTCATTTTCTCTATTGTTTTTCTGGTTCAATTCCATTGATTTCTGTCCTGATCTTCATTATTTCTTCTTGTCTGCTTACTTTGAGTTTCTTTTTTTTTTCTTTTTTTTTCTGATTCTTAAGATTGGAGATTGTCCTCTAGTCTAATGTACACATTTCAGTGCCACAAATTTCCTTTTCCATATTGCTCTACCTGTCTCACATGTTCTGAAATTCATTTTCACTTTCATTTAGTTAAGTAAATATATTTTAAAAATTTCTCTCAAGACTTCCTCTGTGATTCACAGACTGTGCAGGAGTTTGGTGTTTTGTTCCAAGTGCTTGGACATTTCCTGGTTTTCTTTCTGTTACTGATTTCTAGTTTGATTTTATTGTAGTTGGAGTAGATGTAGTATGATTGCATTTATTTTATTTTTTTAAAGATTTTATTTATTTTTTTATTCGAGAGAGAGAGAGAGAGAGAGAGAGAGAGAGAGAGGCAGAGACACAGGCAGAGGGAGAAGCAGGCTCCATGCAGGGAATCTGATGCGGGACTCAATCCCGGAACTCCAGGATCATGCCCTGGGCCCAAGGCAGGCCCTACACTGCTGAGCCACCCAGGGATCCCCCGCATTTATTTTAAATGTGTTCAGATTTGACTTATGAACCAGGGTATTGCCCTTCTTGGTAGTCCATGGTAGTCCATTTGAAAAGATTGTGCCTTCTGTTTTTGGATGGAGTGTTCCAGAGATGTCAACTACATCCTACTGATTGATGATGCTTTTGATCCTTGCTGACTTATTGTCTAGTTGCTCTACCAGTTCTTAATAGAGGGGGGCTGAAGTCTCCACCTATAATTGTATGTTTGCGTAATGCTTGGTTCAGATCCACCAGCTTCTGTTTTACATAATTTGCAGCTCTCCTATTTGGTGCATTAGACATTAGTCTTTTGGGTATGTTGATCATTTTAATCACTTTATAATATCCCTTTCTGTCTGTCGGTTTTCTTTGATCTGAAGTCTACGTTTTCTAATATTAATGGAGCCACTAGTGCTTTGTTTTCAGCAATGTGCACGAGATGCATCTCTTTTTTCATTTATGGATCATATATTTGATAAAGAACCCTAAATACAAATGACTTATAATGTGTGAGGCTTAACAGGATAGTCCGAGACCTTAGAAATATTCTTTCTGGCTCCAACTGTGGTGCTGGAGGAGGAGAGACCTAAAGGTTCAAGTGCGTAGGACAGGGCCATCCCATCTATGGACAAGTTGTACACTGCAGCGTGTGGCTGTAGGTGGTAGCTCTGGGAAGGGACACTAAAAAACTCTGTGGATGGAGGCATATAAACCAAAGGACTTCCTCCTACTCACTATCATCCCCACCTACCCATGGCCTGGAATGGAACTCTTGGATCTTTGACCCTATATGGGAGTGGGGAAAAAACGTTTAAGAAGGACTGAAGCCTTGAAAGTGAAATATAAAGATGTGCTGACTCAGGGCCTGTTTGCCCTCAGACGCACATTCCGTGCCCTTGCCCTGAAGGGTGTTTCCCTGGTTCTCATGGTGGCTGGGGCCTACTTTTGGCTGGCAGGAGATGAGAGGGTGGGGGAGAAGAAAAGGTATAGCACAGATCCCCCCTTCACTTGCCATAAATGTCTTCTGTGGCAGTAGCTGTTTCTCCTCTGTGGCCACAGCTCCCAGGTTGGCCATCCTGCCGGGCCCCTGGGCCCCAGTCCCTCTGTCTCCTCCCTTTCCGTTTCCAGCAAGGGGCCATGCTTGCTCATTTCTGCACAACCTCACCCACCGCTGCCCAGCTCCTGAGTTCTTGTGTCGTCTGAGGTCATTTCCTTGAGTTTCGTTGTCTGATAGGAAATACTTGAAGTGGTCTCCATTTGCCCGGTTAGCCCCTGCTGGAAACAAATGGGTTTAGAGGAAAGGCTGTGATGCATTTCTTACATGCTTGGCTTTGTAGTTTATATTCGCCTTGTGTTATTTTTGTTTGTTTTAAAGATTTTATTTATTTATTCATGAGAGACACACAGAGAGAGAGAGGCAGAGACACAGGCAGAGGGAGAAGCAGGCCCCGTGCAGGAAGCCTGATGTGGGACTCGATCCTGGGTCCCCAGGATCACGCCCTGGGCTGAAGGCAGGCTCCAAACCGCTGAGCCACCCAGGGATCCCTCGCCTTGTGTTATTATCAAACCTACCCATCTTACTCTCTCAGGCTGCGTGCTAAGTGACACTGTTATGTCCATATGTAATATAAGCCTTCCCAGACAACCATCACTTCCAAGTGACTTTTCTGGAAAAGGTGGCTTGAGGCAAAGATGGAAGTCACACCAGGGACCTTTTGACACTGAGCATGGGACTCCTCAGATGCAGGCCTTTCAGATCACAAGGTCTTTGCTACATTTGTGTCTATTGTTTGTAGGCATGGCGTTTTTCTTGGTAGATTGACTAGATTTTCACAGAACCCGAACAAGCTCTGCGAAGAGCTTCTGCATTCCCCACCTCCCCTCAGCCACAGGCCTACTGAGCCATCGCAGATATGAACCAAGCAGTACCCCGTCCCAGTCTTTAGGTGGCAGAGACCTGTCGCGGAGGGGCCACACAGACTGTTATTATGGGTCATTAACTGCCTCATGAACTGGTTTATTAGGTAGGTGTTCTCTGCCCTACTCAGAAATCCACCGAAACTTTGATGGGTGAGAAGCCAAAGGTGGGATGGACGCACCACCCAGAGAGCGAGGCAATCTGGAGACAAGCCCTTCAAGAGGGCTAGCCGTGAGCCTCATCAAGTTAAGGGCAATCCAGCACTTTATTGCTTTTGGCCAAAGAACATTGCCAAACTTCTAGAGCAAAGGGCAAGTACAAGTTATTCTCCCGAAAAGGTTCTAAGATTTCAGACAGGACAGTACAAAAGGACATTTCCTAATATACAATATTTTGGAAGTGGTTTTATGAGAATGATCATCAGAATAATTCCCTACTGTGTCAGATTCTAATCTGAGATAACTGATGCAAAAAAAAAAAAAAAGAAAAATCCATTCATTTATTTATTCTTTTCTTTTTTCTTTTTAAAAAGATTTTATTTATTTATTCATGAGAGAGGCAGAGACACAGGCAGAGGGAGAAGCAGGCTCCAGGCAGGGAGCCAATACATAGTCTATCGGGCCAGGCCCTATATTTGCGAAATTACATACATACCAAGTGTTGGAAATGAAGTAATTTCTGTTTTCTCAAACTGTTCCTTAGAGAATATTCTTCAAAGTTTCCTTCTCCCTCTACCTTCCCAGACTTACCTTAGGGCACAGCAAGGTGGTGTAAATCGTCTTCTAGCGTAGAAGCCCACGGGCATCACTCTGTTGAAACAGGGCTGTGCTGATTTACTTGCCTTTATGTTACCAGAGGCGTATGCAGATTTTGGGACAATTTTGACCCAAGGCTTACTTACATTTGTATTAATTTACACCAAGTTTATGCCTTTTATGTTCAGATAAGGTATTTAGGTTAAAAAAAAAAAAGAAACAACAGTAACAAACTCTCTTGGATTGAGGCTGGAACGTGAATTGAACATTTATAAGCAATTCTGTGGCTCAGACTCAGCTCAGGCACTAACTAGGTGTGTGACCTCAAGGGAATGACACTTCCCAAATCCTTAAAGGGTGGATCGCACTTGGTAAGTACGATCACGGAATTGTCAAGAGGGGCAACTCTGCAAAGCTTGAGCAAAGGCCGGCCACACAGTGAGAGCCAAATACTCACATTCTTACCCCGGAGTTTGCTAACTCGTTGGGCAGAGGCGACGCCGAGGACCTGAGGCTAGAAAAGCTCGGTCCAGGCAAAGCCTCCCCGTGAGAATGGAAGAGATCAAGGGTGAGGATCCCAAAGTGGTGGATTCCATGGGAATCTGAATTTGAATTCCCCTCGGCCCGCAATTTCCGTGACGGACCCTATAATGATTGGGGCTCTGGCCCGGCTAGGGTGCTGGCGCCCAGGCCCTGAGGCTGAGCCGCGCAGCCGCCAGGCCTGCGAGTGCCGCCGGGCTCGGGGTGTCGGACCCCTGCCCCCCAACCCGCCCGCAGCCGCCCCGCCCCGCCCCGCCCCGCCGGCCCTTGAGGCCTCTGAGCGCCCTTCCCTCGCCGCCCCCTGCGTCGGGGTGTCTGGGTGGCGGCGCGCGGAGGCGGGCTCGCTGCTGACGGCTGAGGGGGTGCAGCCCAGGGGGGAGGGAGGAGGGGGAGGGAGGAGGAGGAGGAGGAGGGAGGAGCGCGGAGGAGAAAGGAGGGAGGAGGGAGGAGCGCGGAGGGAGGAAGGAAGAGGGCGGAGCGAGGACGGAGGAGGGAAAAGGAGGAGGGAGGAGGAAGGAGCGCAGGGCGAGGAAGGCAGAGCGCGGAGGGAAGAGGAGGAGGGAGGAGGGAGGCGCGCGGAGGGCGGAGCGTGGAGGGAGGGGAGGGCGGAGCGCGGGGAGCGGAGCGCGGAGGGCGGAGGGAGGAAGGCGGAGCGCGGAGGAAAGGGGGTGAGGGCGGAGCGTGGCGGGCGGCGGGGGGAGGAGGGAGGCGGAGCGCGGGGGGCGGAGCGCGGGGGGGGAGCGCGGGGGGGCGCAGGGAGGCGCGGGGAGGGGGGAGGGCGGAGCGCGGGGGGGAGCGCGGGGGGGGGCGCAGGGAGGTGCGTGGAAGGCGGAGCGTGGAGGGGGGGAGGGGGAGGGCGAGCGCGGGGGGGGGCGCGGGAGGCGCGCGGAGGGCGGAGCGTGAGGGCGGAGCGCGGGGGGCGGAGCGCGGGGGGGGGCAGGGAGGCGCGCGGAGGGCGGAGCGTGGAGGGGGGAGGGGAAGGGCGGAGCGCGGGGGGGGGGCGCAGGGAGGCGCGCGGAGGGCGGAACGCGGAGGGGGGAGGGGGAGGGCGGAGCGCGGGGGGCGCGCGGAGGGCGGAGCGCGGGGGGGCGGGGCGCGGGGGGGCGCGGAGGGGCGGGGCGAGGCCGGGCGGCCGCTGGCGGCGAGCGCGGCGGGCGAGGAGCGGGTCCGCGGCTGGCGCGCCCGGCGGCCTGTGCCCGGATCCGTGCGCCGCGGCCCCGGCGCGCCTCCCTCCCGCCCGGGGTCGGTCCGAGGCCCGGGCCCGGCGCGGCGGCGGAGCCGTGGGCCGCCGGTAGGTCGCGCGGGGCCGGAGGGGCCGCCTGCAGCCTTTTGTGCCGCAGGGAAGGCGGCGGGCGGCGGGCGGGCTGCGGGGCGCGGGTGCCCGGCGGGTCGCGGCGCCGCCCCTTCCTCCCTTCCTCCCTGCCTCGTGTCGGCGGCGGCGCGCGGGGGGCGGGGGCGGGGGCGGCCTCGGGCCCGGGGCTCGGGGGGCTGGTCCTGGGGCGCCGGGCGGGCGGGACGCCGGGGTGTGGGGAGCTGGGTGGGGCCGGTGCGGGGAGCGGGGTGCGGGGAGCCGCGGCTGCTCGGCCCAGGGGTGGGGCCGGCGCCGTGAGTGTGCAGCGGGTGAGTGTGCAGCGGGTGAGCGTGCAGCGGGCGAGTGTGCGGGGGCGTGCGCCGGGGGCGCGCGGCGTGGGGCCGCCGGGGCCGCGGGGCGGACGGGCCGGTGCCGGGGGGGGGGGGGTGCGGCGCGGACTGGCCGCCGGGCGTCCCCCCCACCTGTCGCGGGCGGGCTTGGGGCGGGAGGAGAGCGCAGGGCCGGGCCGGGCCGGGGGCCAGGCGGGCGGCCCCATTGTGAAGCCGCCAAACTCTCGGGCGGTGGAATCCGCCGACTTGGCGGAGGCCGCGGGGGCCCTGCCCTGGTCCCCTTGCAGACGGGCCGCATCCCCGGGGTCGGCCTGCCTCGCCGCGCCGCGCCCCCGGGAGGGCGAGGGCTGCGTGGCGGAGCCCCGAGGCCGAGAGTGTGCGTGCGCGTGCGTGTGTGTGTGTGTGGCTGTGGCTGTGCCCACGGAAAACCGGGGCTGGAACTTTGTGATCCTTGGAGAAAGCATGGAGGCTGAAGCCTTTGACTGCACGCCCGCCCGCTGCCCTTACGAGAGGGCCCTGCTGGCACCGCATTTCTGACGTTACCAGCCTCTTCGACTGACATGGTTTTTCTCAGATGAGCCGCCTTAACGATTTAGAGTAGTTAGCTGTTGCATTTTTTTTTTCACCCCGTAGAGGAAGTTACACACTAAGGGAGATGGAGATGATCTCTTCCCCCAAGTTTATTTTCTTAGAGGTCTCAAAACCCACTCTGGGTCATCATTGCAGAAGCTTGGGGTACTCTGCTAATTCAGGACCATGACTTAGGCCAACGCGATGATGTTCAGGGCCTGTTTCACAGATTTCAGTGTTTCTGCCATGTAGCTGTGTATGCATCCTGCATTTCACAAAATGACCAGGATGAACGAGAAGGGTTAACGGGCCCAGAGGCCTCTTGATTGGATGAGATTGGAGCATAGAATATGCTTCTGTCCACATTTTAGTGCATTGCAAGTGCGACTGGTTAATAGTGACTATTCCAGGACGTAAGATGTCTGGGGTTTTTGTTGACCTTGCATGATGGTCAGCGAATTTGTTCGCTTTCTCTGTATGATTTTGTATCCTCGGGAGAGCTCTTGCACACCCTTAAAAGTACGTAGTGCGGTGGGAGTAACAAAACTGTATAAACAGGGTTGAGATTTTCTTTGCTGTTGCTGCTTTTTATCCTGGGGTGGGGGTGGGGGGGAGGAAATCAGCTCTTTTTCCTCCAGAGAGAGCTCTGATTCCGTCACCAGCCTATCAAAATAAGCTTCTGGATTTAAGCTTCCCGGTGGAAGGTCAGCCAGTTCCACCGTGTGCACCTGTCCCATTTCGGTTATGCTTCCTAGGAGGCAAGTTTCTTGTAAAGCCTGCCTGTAGACCTGCGGTTCCAGTTATTGGCAGTCATATTTGTAGTGAAACCAAATGTTTTTTTTCTAAAAGTAGAAGGGTGACTTTTCATAATGGTGAGACAACAGTGGTGATCTAGCTTTAATTTCTACTAGCAGATGTAGAGGGAAAAAGAATGCTGTACTTTCAGGGGATTACTATGAAGAGAACTGATACTACCAAGACTTTTTTTTTGGGGGGGGGGCGTCTTCCTGAACCAATTGTGTGTTGTCTATACCACCTTGGTGAGGCTAATAATGATTTGCTTGTAAGATCAAGGATGGTTCCGGAAAAGTCACACCCTACCCAAAACTCTTCTTAAAAATCATTGATGATTTAGTTTTTATGAGTTACAAATAGAAAAGTGAGATTAAAGTCCTCCCTGGGAGGAGGGTGGAGGGTAGGTACAGCTAAGCATTGTGTTGCTCTTGTGTGTGTTGTATCTTTGGCAGTTAAACCACTTTGTTGCTGCTCAGTGTTCTGTTACTTGAAAGATGTTTTGGTCTCTGTCTTTGTCTTTAGGCTAATCTTTGAGATGAGTGGTCAAAAAATATTTTCATTAGTCTGAATGCAACTTTTAAAAATCCCTGTTTTTTTGCAAGTGCTTTTTAAAATTATTGATCTCTCCTCAAATAGCTACCCTGAGGGACGCCTGGGTGGCTCAGCCCAGGGTGTGATCCTGGAGTCCTGGGATCGAGTCCCACGTCGCCTCCCTGCAGGGAGTCTGCTTCTCCCTCTGTGTCTCTGTCTCTCTTTCTCTGTGTCTCTCATGAATAAATAAATAAAATATTTAAAAAAAATAGCTACCCTGAGAAATACTGCCTCTTTCCATTTTTTTCCCCTTGTGTTTGGGGATCTAGAATTAGAACCCAGAACTTAGACCCTACCATTTTTCTTTGCCTAAAATTTATCTTGTTTCCCATCATATAATCTTCAATGACTCGTGGGACTTTACCAGAATTCACAAGGGCTATTTGCTAGCCTCATATTTATAGCCGGCCATCTGATTTGGAAGTGATAGATTTTAATTTTCTTTGGAAAAAAAAAAAAAAAACATTTTTTTAAAGTAGGCTTGATGGTGGAGTCCAACACACGGTGTGAACCCACGACCCTGAGATCAATACCTGAGTTGGAATCAAGAGAGAGATGCCTAACTGACTGAGCCATCCAGGTGCCCCTAATTTTTTTTTTTAATTTTTTCTTCCAATTTTTTATTTAAATTCTAGTTAGTTAACATATAGTGTAATAATGGTTTCAGGAGTAGACTTTCGTAATTCTTCACTGACATAGAACACCCAGTGCTTATCATAACCAGTGTCTTCCTCAATACCCATTTAGCCCATCCCCCACCCACCTCCTGTCAACCATGAGTTTGTTCTCTGTCCATTCATTGTTTCTCTTATGGCTATTTTGTCAGTGGATCTGTGCTGAAGTCTGATACTTAGGGTTTTTTGTATGCAGGGATATTGTGTGGGCATGAACACTTCCATGTGGAGTGTGTTTGAGGGAAAAACACTCCCTTCTCTGGGTTCCCAGTACCATTCAGGTTTACTGTTCTGTGTATTCGAATTCCATGTATTGCCATGTCTGTCTGTCTGTCTCTCCTTTTGACTGGTCTCCAGCTTCACTTTTTGTATTTGCCCCAGTGCCTGTATAATGCTGGGATATAGTAAGACTCAAGAAATCTTGTTGAATGTGAGTAAATGAATAATTGAATGGCCAAGTGGATCCACCCTGTGAACTACTCAGATCTGTATGGGACACTACTGTGCAAGCAGAAGGGTCTCTTTCCATTCCTTTTCTTCCTAGTCTTTTAATTCATTGCCTTTTCATTGTTAAATATTACTTTAGAGTAGGATAACAGTATAATTGTCAAACTGGGACACTTTTGAGAGATAAAGGGGGTGCTATAAATTATTATGCCGCGTTCCTGGCTGTGAACGGAGACATATGGCCACCCTACTTTTGAAAGACATTCTTTTATTTACCTGTTTTGATATCTATCACCCTGCCTGGGAAATTTGACACGCTTCCTAGTTAATGTTTGCAAACTCTTCTATTTGCAGAAGCTTCATTTGCAGTCCTCTGTTGGGTGTCTTTTGCTTAGTCACTCAAGGCTTGCCTACCCAGAGGCCTGCGGGAAGACCTTGGCCATGCTCGCCTTTTCCTATTTTCATTGCTTCCGGGAGAATGTCACAGGGTTTTCTGTTCGTTTCAGCTGTTTGTAGCTGGAAGAAGCATATATTCTAGCTCCTGCTCTGCTTCCTAAAGTCTGTGTCTCTGCAAAGCATTTAGTCCATCCTGTAAGCCTTTCTCATGAGTTCCTTTCCTTCTTGCTGACGACCGTCTTTGAGAGGAGATCCGCTGATGCCTTGCCAAGCCTTCATGATCAAAACATTGGCCAGAATCAGCTGCAAGTGTGAGAGATTCATAGATTTTTAAAGCATTCTAAAAATGTCATTGCCGTCTGAAACTTTATTCTAGATTTGAACGCAGGGGAACCTTAACGTGATGATCTACTCTTGCTCTGGAGCCGAAGGGGAAATTTAGGAAATGGTGGGTACTTTCGTAGTAAACAAAGTGTATTCACTCGTCATCCCTGTTATGCCAGTGCCCGTGGGCTTTGGAGTCAGACGGGTAGGCGTTCGGATTCTTCTTCTAACTCTCAAATAGTGTGTTACTTGGTCGAATACTTTCAAAGGGGGGGTAGTGTTTTCCATGCGGAGTAGCTATAAATTGCTTACAGCTTTTGGCATAAAGCAGGTGTTCAAAAATATTGGTTTCTTCTTATTAGAAAGCCCGGTCTCTGGGAACTTTCATACTACGATTATATTGATTTCTCGTAGGAGATGGGATAAAGCCTTTACTGTAGTTTTTGTTGTTGTTGTTCTTGGTTTTACTGTTTTTGTTTTTAAAGTAGATTCCTTTATAGGCGATCTCTTTAAGAAGCCTTGTTCTTTTTTTTTTTTTTAAAGATTTTATTCATCTATTCATGAGACACACAGAGAGAGAGAGAGAGAGAGGAGCAAAGACACAGGCAGAGGGAGAAGCAGGCTCCATGCAGGGAGCCCAACATGGGACTTAATCCTGGGTCTCCAGGATCAGGCCCTGGGCCAAAGGCAGGCGCCCAACTGCTGAGCCACCCAGGGATCCCCAAGAAGCCTTGTTCTTAATACTAGTGTCTGGTCTTGTGCTTTTAATTCTTCCTTTTTTTCATCATCTTTCCTCTTCTCTTCGCCCCTGTGCACAGATAGCAGGTGGTTCCACGCACAGAAGTAAGCGGTGAGCAATGACTAAAAAATGAGAAAGGCAGTGGAGCTCCTGCACCTCGGTGCGCCTGGGTGGCTCCCTGGACTCTGTGTTTGTCTTCTATTTCTGGCTTGGCACTGCTATAACAGGGATAATCAGTTACTACGCTTTGTTTACTATGAAATTACCGACCATTTCCTAGACTTCCACAGTAGCTCCAGGGCAAGTGTTGGATAATTACTTTAAGGCTCCTCTGTTTTCAAATCCAGAATGAAGTTTTAGGTTGATTTTTCATTTGCTGTTTGAAAAAAAAAAAAAAAGTTGGAAAATAATAGTTTTTTGGTGCATTGAAAAGCTTGAAAAGAAGAGAACGTCCCCAAAGACATAATACACATCGGGTGATGGCGGCAGTGTGATTCTGCAGTGTTTTCCAACACTGTTTTTTACTTGGAATTAAGACAGATCCGGATTTCTGCAGTGTTCCTGCTCCTGGGTTTTCTATGGGAATTTCTGAAGGGCTGAATGCAATCACTGTCGCTGCCCGAGGAGGCGGCCCTGAGAAAGGCCCGCGGCTTGCTCCCATGTTTGTCCCCACATGGCCTGAGCCGGCCCGGGCTCCCCGCGGGCCTGGGACGGAGGGGCGACGGGTGGTCACCTGCAGGCGTGTGCCCCCCCCCTGCCCCGTGCACAGGCCCCGCTGGAGCTGCCCCCGCCCGAGCCGCCAGCTGAGACCTCGGCCCTGTGCTCCCTCGGGGCTGCGGGGCCGCTTCGCAGCAGAGCGCGGGACTCGGGACTCGGTGACGCCAGCGGACCAGAGGGGACAGTTCCCGGCCGCGTCGCCGCGTAACAAGCGGCCCCCGGGGCTTGGGCGGGCGGGGAGGCTGCACCTGGGCTGCGGAGCTGGGCCCCCGGGGGGATGCGGGGCTGTGGGGGCTGGGGAGGTGCGGGGTTGCAGGGCTGTGGGATTGGGGGGCTGGGGAGGTGCGGGGTTGCAGGGCTGTGGGGGCTGTGGGCCTGCAGGGCTGCGGGATTGGGGGCCTGGGGAGGTGCAGGCTGCGGGACCCGGGGCTGCGGGGCTGTGGGAGGCTGCAGGGCTGCGGGACCGGGGGCTGCAGGATTGGGGGGCTGGAGGGGTGCTGCACCGGCCCGGGGCCGGGGGGCGGAGCCTCCGCAGGCTCGGTGGCAGCTGGTCGGCCGGGGGGTGCCGCGGCTGGAGTCCTGCAGCGGGTGGGGTCCTGCAGCCGGGGGCCTCTGAGCCCGGGAGCCGCTGCAGGACACAGGCCGGTGGGAGGAGCGGAGCAGGCGGGGGAGGGGGGGGTGGAGCTGCATCCCGGCCCGGCGCCCCCACCCGGTCCCTCCCTGAGGCTCACGGGCCCCCCCAGGCCCACGGGCAGTGGGACCCCCCTCCCCCCAGCCGTGTCTCCTGGCACCCGGGCCTTCGGGAGCAGCTCCCTGAGCTGGAGATGCTGACGTGGTGACCCAGGGGGGCCGGCACCGGGAGGGGGGGCGGTCGGGGAGGGGCCGGGGGTGCCCCCCGGGGTCCTCCTGTCATCACCTCCCAGGCGAGGGAAGGCCCAGAGGAGATGCTCAAAATCTTAGGCGATGGGGTGACTCTACGGGGTGACTCTACCGAAGTGGTGTTCTCTTTAAAAAAAAAAAAAAAAAAAAAAGGGACGAGCAAGTGTTCTCCAAGGCCTTTGCAGTCATTTGCCTCCGAGTACTCTTAGGAAGCACATTCCTGTGGCTATTGTAGGGCTGACACGAGTAGACCCCAAAAATTAATTGCATCACAATGACATCGCTGGTCCCTAAAGGGCTTTGCAGCTCGCAGAGTGCGTCCACCTGCCTCATCTCTCTTGATCCGCGGAGCAACCGTATGTGGGAGGAAGAAAGGTTTCGTCCTCCTTCCAAGTATTGCTCTTCATGCAATGTCAAGAGGCACAGTTGTCAGCAAGGCCAGGCCACAACCTGTTGTGACCCCCCCCCCAACCTTTGTGTTATTTTTTTTCATACGATGCGGTGAGCCTCTCCAGTACCTGGAGGGGACCTGGGTGGTATCACCTACATTTCAGCCCCCAAATGTCGTGTCTCTGTTTAGTCCAGGTAGCTGCACCTCATCCCCAGGTAGAAAGTCAGCAGCAGAATGCAGAGGAACAAACCAGAGAAAATGTATGAAGTTTACGTTAGCTGAACAGAGTCAGACTGCTTTAATTAAATGAATTAATATTGGATCCCCTATAACCTGGACCTGATGTTGGCACCTCCTGCTACTTTCATCTTGTGTTGCAGTTAGAATTGTTATCATTGCTTTCTGAGTTGCGTTACTTGTTAAATTAAAGGCTTATTTTTATATTCCATGTTTAGTATCTGGAGTAGAGCAGAAAAAAATATTATGCCTGTGTTCCCTTGGGACTCATTGGACATTGTACGGTGACATCTTCTGGGATTTAGACTGGTGAGTTGTATTTTGCTTTTTCTGTTGTTAACCAGTTGTGTGAACCTATTATCATCATGCATTTTAAGGACTGCATAAACAGATGAACGTGAGATGTTGGAATATTGCTGCAAAAATATCTACTACAATTATGAAAGTTTGAATGATGAGAGCTGAAAGTATTGCTGCAGATTGCTAACATTATTATCTCAAGGGGTTGGCCTTACTGATTGAGGGGGAGCTTATATCTTATTCCTGTAAGATAAAGGTGGTTTTATGGAATACTATTTCAAAATAGACTAGGTAAGAGGTTATTGCTCTGATTTTGGGGAAATGTTAGTAAAACACTAATCCCTAGAGATTGGCAATAAAATCTGCAAAAAGCCCTTGTTGTGTGTTATGATATGTAAAGAGTAGCAAACGGGTGACTTAAGGGAGCATCAGTTGCACTTGGTCATATAGCAGTTCACTGCCAGTATGACCTTCCTCTTATTACACCTTGAATTTAAACTTGTTAAAATTATGCAGTGCTGTTGTCTTTTAGTTGTTTTTTTTTCCTGGTGTGTCATCTCTATCTGTGCTGACATGGTTATCCATGTGACTCTGTGGTTTGAAGGTGAAAACAATTGAATAAGTATCTTTGTACCTTTTTAGCATTTTAAAAATTAGTGTGAGTTCGTGCTTTGGGGACTCCTTCTACTCGGGGAATATCTTTGTCGGTCCCTGCTTTGAATTAGGGTGATCATAATCCGTGGGGTGGGGATGGGGAAGTCCTTGGGAAAAAAAAAGTCTGGAAAAGCATCTAGTTTCATAATAAGTGACCTCCAGATTAGCAGTCAGCCAAAAGAATGATGGGGAGAACCAGACACTTTTGTTTCATTAGGTGGATACAGCGTACCAGGCTTATGACAGTGCATTTTAAAACATTGAGAAAATGAGAACATTACTAAAATTTCAGTTTTGAGGAAAAAAAGCAAGACGTCTGAAAACTCGTAAGTACAAAATACATTTAGAGGATACTCAGTAAGGAATAATGTGGTGGAGTTATTAACTCATGTAATTTAAATAAAGCACAAAACCAGGAGCAGTGGGTGGAAGTTGCAGGAATGTGTGTGTGCATCTGTATCTTTTTCTTCAGATGCGCACATATATACAAAAGTATATAAACGTAACTATGGATATAGTTATATCTGTATCTTTATCTATATCTTTTGCACAGCTGCAAAAGGTGAAATGAACCAACTCAAGAGTAGTGAGTTATCTGTCATTGGAGGTGTTCACACGTAGACTGAACAACCATCAAAGTTCCTTCTGATTCCCAGACCACGTAATTTAAAGGATTTTCAAATTAGGACGGTCAAGCGTTTGACCGAAGTATGTGACAGGCTTCTTTTTTATTTGTTTCATTTTTTTATTTGTTTCATGTTTAAAGTCAGACTTAATTGAAGTATAATTTGTATATAGTAAAATTCACCCTTTTATAGAGTCTGAAGAGTCTTGACAGATGTATCCAGTTGTGGAATGTGCCTTACAGTCCATATATAGAATATTGTAGTCACCCCCTAAAATTGCCTGCCCCCCTTTATAGTGTGTCCCCTCTTCCCTTTGTCAATCATTGATTGATTACTGTCCCATTAGTTTTCCAGAATGTCATGTAAATCGAATCACACCTATGTAGTGTTTTCTGTGTGCTGCTTTCACTGTTGTGATCCTACTTTGCTCCTTTTTGTTGCTGAGTGATACTCCGTTGTATGGATGGAGCGCAGTTTCTTTTTCCATTTCCCTGTGGTCTTTGTTTTTTTTGGTTTTCAAAAAAGTTTTATTTATTCATGAGAGACACAGAGAGAGAGAGGCAGATACACAGGCAGAGGGAGAAGCAGGCTCCCTGCAGGGAGCCCGATGTGAGACTGGATCCCAGGACCCTGGGGTCATGACCTGAGCCAAAGGCAGCTGCTCAACTGCTGAGCCACCCAGGCGTCCCCATTTCCCTGTTGATGGACATCTGGATTGTTGCCAGTTTTTGGTGATTATGAAAAAAAAAAAAAAAAAACCCTTAAAAACATTCACGTTCAGGTCCAGGTCTTTGTGAACGTCTTTTGTGTGAACATACATTTTCATTTTTCCTAGGTAAATACCTACCAGTAGGGTAAGTGGGGTAACATGCATTTATTTAACTGTGTATGTAATTGCAAAACTGGTTTTCCAAAGGGCTGTCCTCGGTACAGGCTTCTGAGAAGCTAAAGTGACTGTACCAAGGTGTGTGCAGATAGAGGGGCCTGCTTCTCAATCAGTGCTGATTTATTTTTATTTTATCGCTTCTCGGCCTTTTGGCTAAGATCAAGTGATTTATTTTTATTTTATATCCTGTTTTAACAAGTTTGATTGCCACATACTTTTTAAGCCCCCAGTGGCTTAGACACGGTAAGTTAGAAGGCTTACGGATGGGTTGTTAGCAATTTGAAGCAGCCGGAAATGCACCCACTGGTATGACAGTAATCACTGATTTTAAATAAAACAAAAGGCAGGGACTTAGAGGAGTGACAAACATGTCTGCATGGTAGAATCTTCTGGAAGCCTTTTGAAAACCTTAGAGTCTAGACTGTGCCCCCAGATGAATTAAATCACAGATCTGAGGTAGAGCACAGGCCTCAGTATTTCCTGAAGCTCCTTGGATGATGTTGGGGAACCATGGGAACCATGTGCAGCAAGCGCAGCGTGAGGACGTTGATGGAAGCAGGATGCCTGCAAGGCTCTGGGCAAGCCCCTGCCTTCGCGGCTTCAGGGTCCTCTTTTCATCATCAGAAGCTTTGCACAAGTGAAATCCAAGATGATTCTGGCATTGAAACTGGGTGGTTCTAGATATTACTAGATTAACAATAGTCAAGCTTAGGAGACCATTTGCCAAGAGCCGGCTTTATTCCAAATGGATCATTTCTTGAAAAGGACTTTGTTCACATGGTGACATTTTTGTTCTGTATATTTAGACAGTTCTATATGTTTTCTCTTAAGTAGAATTGCTGTGTGTGACTAAGAAACGGTTCAAGCATATGGAACAAGTTTTTTGATTACTGATGATGACTTTTTTTTTTATAAGCCCGATTTAAAAAAAAAAAAATTCCCAGAATGCAGTACTTCTCAAAAAGAGTTCTTTGTTAATGGTGGTTGTGAAACTTGGCTATTTTCAGAGCTCGTTGGTCTAAGGAGTCGAGGCATCTAGTCGAACGTTTTTTAAATGTTCCTTGTGCCAAACACTTGGGAAGTTGGACCTCTTGGGGATTGTTCAAAGCTGAGCAGATTTCACACAGGAGGTCACAGTCTTGAGTGTGCTCACCATGGTGGAGCAGATTCCCCTATATGCGTGCTGTGGTTTGGGCCTGGCGGCGTTGGTTGCAGCCAAAATTCCTAATTGCACACTGTACCCCATGTTTTTAAAATATGCACCATGCACAGTTTTCTAGCAAATATTGAGGCGTTACCTTTTCTAGTCTTGTTTAGTTTTGAATTCTCCTATAGTTCAAAGAACTCCGGTGGCACCTGGGGACACTGTCAGAGCTTTCCTGCTTTGTGAGTATATGTTATTACACTTGTTACGGATCAGATTGCGAAGGAATTTGATGTTGAGGACCTTGACGTGCCATTTTTTAAAAATCATACATGTTCCTGGAACTTGCTTAAGAAGCTCAGTTTTTCAAAGTTTTAGTCAACTACAAGTGGACCTTTCTATATTCTCTTTGTAGTTTTTGTTCTAGACTCTTCTATGGACAGAAATTTTTGCTGCTTCTGTTATTGTACTAGCAACACTTTTTCTGCTTCTGGTTTTTATTTTTGCTTTGAGCTACATACGAAAATCACTAACGGGATCACTAAGGATCTTGTTGCTCTCTGATTTCTCGCGTTCAGCAGTTGCAGAAGTTAGCATCGTGCCTAACTTCCCAGTTCGTGTTTATTCTTATTGATGCAGTGGGAGTGGGCGCCTGTTGCACATACTTGCGGTATTTGTAAGAGTTCTTTGTAATCTTTCTTCTTGGCAGTAGTCGTTTGTGAGGCACGGTTTATTTTAGGTAGGAAACAAAACGCTTAGTCACGAATGGTTTGTTAAGAATAATGAACCTATAAACAGATTTTTCACAGTAAAATATGAAGAATATTCTGCTAAACACAGGCCATCTCCAGTTGCAGTCATGATAGCCATGTTTCCTGATCCATGCTTTTATTTATTGTTCATTTATTCTTTTAGAGAAAAAAATGAGCAAGTGAGCAGGTGGGGCAGGAGGGACAGAGGGAGAGAGAGAGAATCGTAAGCAGGCTCCACACCCAGTGCCGGCCGATCACAGGGCTCGATCCTGCGACCCCTGAAGTCACGACTGGAGCCAAAATCAAGAGTTGGCTTAACCAACTGAGCCACCCATGTGTCCCTCCCTGGTCTAGTGCTTTCAGTAAGAAATTTTGCTGTGTGAAATACTGTACCTCCGTCTTTAGTGTCCCTTTTTTCTTTTCTTTTCTTTTCTTTCTTTTCTTTTCTTTTCTTTTCTTTTCTTTTTTCTTTTCTTTCTTTCTTTCCTTTTTCCCTTCCCTTCCCTCTTTTTTCTTTTCTCTCTTCTCTTCTCTTCTCTTCTCTTCTCTTCTCTTCTCTTCTCTTCTCTTCTCTTTCTTTTTTCTTTCGTAGAATTGCAGAATTAGGAAGTAGCTAGACTTGTTCACATGTGCTCCTGTACTACTTCTGCTCATTTAAGAGATCACCTGAGGAAGTTGATGCTGTAACTGCTCCCAGGGTCTTGCTCCAGGATTTAAATCCAGTCGGGAAATTCTCAGGCACTTAATAGCGTAAGAAGTTTGCTTTTGGTCACATCGAAGACTGGAGGGCATGCTGCTTAGTCAGCATTCCACCTAGCTGAAAACAAGATAGTTGCCAGTCAGCGTTCTCTTTCCTGAACGGCAGCCACCACCTAGCTTTCTTCGTCATGCGCACGGGGACTCTTTAGAAGGGCAATCAGTTTATAAGTAAAAAGGATCCTTTAAAAAAATAAAAAAAAGCTAAACAGTTTGCACGAGTTGGGTGGTTGCACCGTGACTTTCCCACGTGAATATTAAGATCTCAGGATGTTCTCCTCCATTTGACAATACACTGAAGAAACCAATGAAGCCACCTTACAGCTGTTGGTTTTGAGACTGTCTTACTGTTTGGAACAGAAGTACTGATGTTTTTGAAATGTGCAGACAGTTCCAGAATTCAGGGTTGTTCATGAGAAGTTCAGTAGGGTTGCAGCTGTATATATAATACTTCAAACAAGCATTTTTCTGTCCAGTACAGTTGAGCTTGTAATTCAGAAATCTGGTGCAGTGTTGACCTTAGTTACTAGGCCAAATATTTGCTAGAGTGTATTGGAAATGCTCATTCTTAACTTTTGTGGTTAGGTGGTGTCTTCTCACAGGGGATGTGTTGTTTACCTCAGCAAAATAATGGTAGGTTTCTTACACCTTGGTTGAAAATTCCAGAGCTCTTACACTCCCTCCGTGTCTTTATCTGTTTGACAGTCTGGGTGAGATCATTCATTATCTGTCAGGTAGATGCCTGAACGTCCCAGTGGGTAGTCTTGCCCAACCCACGTGAGTCTTCTTACGACATCGTGGCTGCTGGAAGCTGAAGCTGCGGTGCTTGCTCACCTCTTGGCAGTGTCCTGGCATCTGTTTCATTTCCCACCAAATTGCAGTTCTTTGAATTGAAGGAATTTGAATCATCACATTCCTTTATCTGTCACTCCACCTGCTGTCTTCCATGTTCTTATTTTCTGGGTGCCCATTTTCTAGCTCATACATTCTGCCTCCCTTTTGCTCTCAAACCTTTGCATCCTGACATCCTTTCTCCTCCTCCTCTAGAGATTCTGGGAATTCCTGATCTTCTGCCTTGAGGCAGCAGTGCTGGTTTAGGGTAGGAGCTAACGTCTAATGATCCTGCCTGCAGAAGCCCGCACCTGCTCGGCTTTATTGTGATTTTGTACACGCTTACCCTGTTTGGTGATTTTTATCCCTCGGGGGCGGCGGGGTGGTGCATAGAGGATGACGTTCAGCCTTGCCTCTGGTTGAGTTATGACCTGAATCCGCATGGGCGGAGTGTGACTGCCTGGATTGGGGCGAGTTTATAATGTGCCAGATGAGAACACAGTAAGGTGCCTGGTGGTGGTCTGTGCACTGTCGTGAAGTCCCAGATTTGGAAGACACCTAGACCACTATGTCACCTAATGTGGGCTGATTGCTTGGGTGTCACCATATGGGTGATTCTAACTTGGGGTATACCCATCCGGGTGTGTGTGTGCACTCGGTTTGCCCCACAGCACTGATTGTCTTAGCCTCGCTGACCCTCCTCTCCTTGTCTTTCAGAATGGCCCGTCAGAGCCTCTACCCCTGCCGCCTGTAGCTGCCTGTCAGGGTTAGGTAGCTTGGGGGCCTTTGATCTATCCTCTTGTGCTCCTTCTGGGCTGTCTAGAATCAGTGAGAAAGGAGGTACTAGACTGGTGTAAACATTTGTTTATTCAGCATAAAGCTTGACAAAGCTTGGGCCCTCGAAAGTGGATGAGAGAAGAAATCTCCAGGTGTTCGCATGCTTATCAGGGTAGCCCATGGTCCCCTAATATCCCAGTCCTTTTAATAGAGCAGGGAATCGCACGATCAAATATGAATTTATTTTTACATTAATATTATAGAATAAAGGCATTTACTTTAAACCTGGAAGGGTGGAGGGGCTACCATATTTTGATTAACCACAAAGAGGAAGATTCCGAGCAAGAAGTAAGTAAATCTCTGCGGATCCCTTTGGCATTTGCTCTATCTCGGGGCTCCTTGGTAGTGTGTAGTGTTAGTTTTCAGTTGCATTCTTGATGTGGATTGCAGTGAGGACAGGATGCTACCCCGGGGACTTCTTCATAGTCTTGGTTTATTTCTTAATGAAGGGAAGTATAGCACGCAAGTGAGGGAATAAAGCTCTTTCCCCGCCCCCCCCCCCTTTTTTTTTCAAGCTTTAGAATTGCTTAGATTTTAAATGAACACCCAAACTTTGAGAAATGCTTCAATCAGCAAAGGGTTATTTGTTTTACAAAAGGATGTATAAGAGTTATTTAATATAATAGTCTTTTCCAATACATTTTTCGTTTTAAAGTTGGTTACTCTTTGACATGATTTTGATTAGCAATCTGAGATATTTAAAATTGTATTTTCTATTCCTAACTGATGATCAAGTAGAGATCAAGTTTCCCTTAGTATTTTGTTTTCCAAAATTCGGCTTACTGCCGCTTTCTAGAAACCTGGCCATTGTTAGTGGTACTTCTCGTCAGTGAGGTTTTTCCAGACTGCGTGATGGGATCATCCTGATGAATAATATCAGCATCTGCTGAGAATCGTTCTAGCATCTATGAAACCGTTCAAAAGTGCAGTGTCTTGAGTGTCACAAAATAAAATAACTCGCAAATCAACAGCATATTTTCTGATATTTTATATATGTATTCAGTATTAAAACTGACCTGATTTACTGGGTTTCGGGTTTATTTTTAAACTACAAAATGGTTTGCTTCTAGTGATTCAGTGGGGAACGTTGGAGGAAGAACACTGGCAACTTTTGGGGGGCCTTCCCTTAAGACTGGGATTTGAAGCCTTCAAAAAAAAAAAAATTTTTTTAGGCCCCTATGGGAACCTTTGCAGAAATCCATCCATTTTTGTCTTTCATTCCGTGCCCCTCACACGCAACTGAAAGAGCAATTGTAGGTGGAAGAGCTGAGCCCCTGCTTTGAATCCAGTGATGGGAAGCATGCAAACATGTGCATGTTCAAGTTGGGAACGTGTGGCGGGCTCTCGGGGGACCGCGGGTGGCCCTCGGGCTGGCTTCGGACTGAGGCCCGTGCCTGCTGGGCCCGGGGTCCCGCGTGGGGCCCCGTGGAGAAGTGTGGTGTCCGTGTCCCTGCGGCCCGGCCTTGGGTTCTGGAGGGCAGGTGCAGGGGCACGGCCACCCCCCGGCCGCCCAGGCCTGTGCGGGAGGGCGTCGCAGGTGCCTGGCCTGGCCTGGCAGGTGTGCCCTGAAGGTCCCCCGGGCCGGGCCGCTCCCTGTGCGTGCCCTGGCCCTGACCGTGTGCGTCTGCTTCCTTTCAGGAGTGTGCGGCCCGGTGCCCGACATGGAGGTGGACGTCAACGGAGAGCCGCGCAGCGCCCCGGCCGCCGGGCCCGGGCCCGAGGCCTGCTCCCCGGGCAAGGCGGGGCCCGAGAGGCCGCGCTGCTCCAGCACGCCCTGCTCGCCGGCGCGCCGGACCGTGGCGGGCTACCAGATCCTGCACATGGACTCGAACTACCTGGTGGGCTTCGCCACCGGCGAAGAGCTCCTGAAGCTGGCCCATAAGCGCGCGGCAGGCGAGGAGGCCAAGGGCGAGGCCGTGCCCTCCCTGCGCCCCAAGCAGCTGGACGCCGGCCTGGCACGCTCCTCCCGCCTGTACAAGGCCCGGGGCCGCTCCTACCAGCCCTACGAGATCCCGGCGGTGAACGGGCGGCGGCGGCGGCGGATGCCCAGCTCGGGCGACAAGTGCACCAAGGCCTTGGCCTACGAACCTTGCAAGGCCCTGCACGGGCCCCTGCCCCTCTGTCTTCTCAAAGGTAAGAGGGCCCACTCCAAATCTCTGGACTACCTCAACCTGGATAAAATGAGCATCAAGGAGCCAGCCGACACGGAAGTGCTACAGTACCAGCTGCAGCACCTGACCCTCAGGGGGGACCGCGTGTTTGCCAGGAGCAACACCTGAGCAGGCGCGGCGAGGGGCGGCCAGCCCAGGTGGGCCTGCGCCCGGCTGGGGAATGCCCGCCGTGGGACTCTGTACAGGACTCTTGCATCCTAGACGGCTGTAGCAGCCACGTGTTCCCGGGGCGCACACAGTGTGCGCACCAGAATGCGAACGCGGGAGCGAAATCACAGGGACTTGGGGGGGCACATCATCCTAGAGCACGCACCTGGCGAGGAGAGCGGACTGCCGGCCGTTGGCTTGTACAGCTCTGTAGCTAGGAGGAAGAGGCCTCGGCACCGCAATACCATCCGCAAATGATTCTGACCCTCCGGTGGGGAATGTTAATCTGCTTGGTTGTTGCTGACTTGGTATGATCCATTAGAAATTTATATCTAATGTACTAAGGTACTCAAGTACTTCTTTAATCTCTGTATTTTACTATAAAACGTATGTAATGATTTGTTTTATGAGATTTAGAACTTGAACATTGCTGAATTGGACCACTTTTTATTTTTAAATATTGAGTTTAAATATTTTATAACTGGTTTTGCACTGAAAAACTTAACATTTCAGATCGACAAGAGAATAATCTTTCTTCACTTGCCTCAATAGTATTATTGAGCAATGAATTTTTTTATTTCCGCATGGAAAGTTATTGATCTCTATGGCTGTAAAATATTTCTTTATAGCATTATTAAAGTGTGTCTTAATACAATTAAATTTGGGATACAAAGTATTTATTTTACAATGGGTGGGGGGAAGCTTTTTCCAGAAAGTTTCCAATACGACGTTTTCATAAGCTCAAAAAAAAAAAAAAAGTTTCCTTCGTGCTTACTTTCTAAGTTAAAACTTCATCTGCGACTTTAAAATGGAAAGGATTCTTTTAATTGTGGACGATAGGCATAATACTGTTTGCATCTGAATGTTCTGTAAGTGAATGAATTTTTAATCGAAGGACTCATGACTTCTGCTAACCGAATGCTTCAACGGAGTATGAAGTGACACCATTCAGCATGGCATCGGGTCATTCCGTTTAAGTTCTGTGCAGCTCACGCGCTCCTTGAAATTCCAGTTTCTGGGATTAGTGTGGGAGCCTAAAGTGCTTCTGCAGTTTTAATGGGTTAATCCTGGATTACTTAACAATTTATGTCAATTGCACTGGTTTAATTTGTTGCTAAAGAAATCACGCCCTGGCTTTAGTAACAAATACAGCTCAAACTATTCTTGAGTATATTTTGAGAGACATGTATGTAACTTAACCTTTTGTAAACATTTCTATTTCTTTTTTTTTTTTTTCTTTTTTGACTCTTGAAGGTGCAATTTATTACGGAATTGGCATTTCTGGCAGCGTAGACCTGCTTATTTTAAATTTTAGTTTGGGGGCCGTGAGTTTCTTAGGTCTTAGCAGCCTTGCTTTCTGAAGTAAGAACGCCTTTTATCAATGAGTGGGTCATTCCTGGTGCAGAGACGATTTTCCTTCGGCCAGGATGAATGGCAAACTCTGTCTAGAGCAGAATAAGTTATTAGGAAACCCTAGGAACTCTTAACCAACATTTATTATTCTTTCACCGAGGCAGACAACGTGAAAGAGCCTTGGGGATGTTGACCCATATCTTACCAACTTGATCACACTTCTTGGGGGGCTGGAAATTTTCAGCTGTTGTATATTTTAAGGTAAATTGCACCTTTGTAACATATTGTATTGACGAATGATCACTAAGATTAACTCTATCTATACAGTCACTAGTTTGACAAGAAATAGAATCCTGTCAGATGCCAAAGAGTTGGGATTTTTACGTTTAATGATTAAACACCGTTATTTATTGATGATTTACCCTGTGGAACTGTATTATTTCTAACTATGAAATAAAAAGGGTGATGTAAACACACATTGTTGTGTGGTGCTTTAAACAAGGTCCATCATCAACAGGCTAGTTACTGTTCAAAAATTCTGCCTAAGGACTTATTTTTAGGCCCCATTTTTGTAAAAAAAAAAAAAAAAAAAAAAAAAAACAAAAACAAAAATTCCTTTTGGTGCTCATTCGCGTTTCAGGGTAAAGGATATATTCATGGCTATGGTATGTATTCAGTCCCTGGGGAAACACAGCTGTGTACCTGTGAGATCTGTCCCCTGCCCATGCACCCACGTAATTTGTTTTTGCCAAATAAAAATATGTAGCTGTTTTGTTTTGTTTTGTTTTGTTTTCACTGAAAGACACATGAGCCTCAGTGGCCAAAACGAACAGGGACGGAAGTTTGAGATATGGCACGTTTGCGATGATCTGGTTTAGTAAAGAGAATTAATTTTAAGGATCAGTTTCCTAGAAAGAGAGTTTTGGAACTCCGGGTCTGTAATTCGCAGAATGCGTGGGGACAGCTCCTGCTTTCCACCTTCTTTCTCTGCAGGCCATGGCCCTGTCGTGCTCCTGTAGTAGGTGGTATCCCGCCAAGAGCAAAAGGTTAGCCTGGGTCTCTTTTTGCCCGGACTTCTTCATGGTCTTGGTTTATTTCTTTTCTTTTCTTTTTTTTCTTAAAGATTTTCCTTATTTATTCATGAGAGACACAGAGAAAGAGGCAGAGACACAGGCGGAGGGAGAAGCAGGCTCCATGAAGGGAGGAGCCTGATGTGGGACTCGATCCCGGGTCTCCAGGATCACAACCTGAGCCAAAAGCAGAAGCTCAACCACTGAGCCACCCAGGCACCCTTGGTTTATTTCTTAATGAAGGGAAGTATAACATGCAAGTGAGGGAATAAGGTTCTTTCCCTGCCCCCCCCTTTTTTTCAAGTTTTAGAATTGCTTAGATTTTAAATGAACACCCAAACTTTGAGAAATGCTTCAATCAGGAAAGGGTTCTTTGTTTTACAAAAGGATGTATAAGAATTATTTATTCTTTAGACCTTTGACATGGTTTCTGTCTACTTTAGGGCTCTTCCCCCGCCCCCATTTGTATTCAGTTTAATATCTCCTACTGGCCAGAAGACACTTGATGTCATCTTACAGTGTCTGCCTTTAAAGGAATTGCAGCACCACGTAAGTTTATGTGTCGGTTTCTTTTTTTGCCAAAATACCGTGTTGTAGAGGCTCGGTTGATGTATAAAGTGGCGATAGGATTTCACCCTTGGGGCCGGCCCGGGGGGAGCTGCTTTTGAGGCCCTGACTTCTCCTTGGCTGTGTTTGTACCTCTGGCCCCAGGGCTCCTGGAGTCAGCAGTCAGGAAAGAAAAAGGCCTGTGAAGTGTGGGGGACGGATTAAAATGTACACGGGTTCAGAACCCCCACACTGGACTGTTCCAGGCCCTTCCCTCTGTCACGTGAGGCCCATGTGCATGCCTTTTTCCTCCTCTGTGATAATTATTTGAATAATTTCATTATTTGGGATTTGGGAAGCTTCCGTAAGACTGTAAGTTAACTTACAAAGGCAAACTGGCCTTTTCACTAAACAAAGAATGTTTTTTGAGTTTTTGAGAAAAAACATACTTTTCTCACTCTATAGCATACTTTTTTTTTTTTAAATCTTGGAAAGATTTACTCAGAACAACATGCCCTCAATTTCCATTAAAATATAATCTGAAAAGTATATATTCCATTTTATTAAGTAAAGCTTCTGATATATAGCTATGCTTCATATAAATATAGAATAAACAAAAAAGCAAGAATCTGTCTCAATGGGACATTTTCATAAGTTATCTACAGGCTAATTTCATTTTCATATTCATATTATTTCATGTTACTCAGTTTTAGCAGTTCAATTCAAAATTTTACTTCAAGGAGGTCTCAATAAAATTTAAACAAAATGTTAAAAAAGAAATCTTGGAAAGAGTTTTGTTCCATTATAACTGTTGAAAACAGTTTTGTTTTTTGTTTTTTTAACCGTTGAAAACACTTTAGGGGAACTTTTAAATGACCCCGGCCTAAGTGATTTGCTCTCAGTCAGAGCAAGCAGAAGGAGAGGCTGTGAGGCAGTGTCCCAAGTAGCATAAATGTTTTGCAAGGGTTGGGGCAGAGAGAGAGCAAAGCTGTGCATTAGCGCTACCTTGTAATGCAGAGGGGACAAGCCCAATTCCCTCTTTAAACAGTGTAATTTGATTAGGGAAGTGCAAGTTGATGAAGATTGCCTCAGAAATACAGTAAATTCGATTATTGAGCTAGAGATTGTACTTTGCTTTGTAATAACGCTTCTTTAGATAAGAATTAGGAAAAGGAGGGCAGCCCGGGTGGCTCAGCGGTTGAGCACCTGCCTTGGGCCAGACGCCTGATCCTGGAGACCCGGGATCGAGTCCCGTGTTGGGCTCCCTGCATGGAGCCTGCTTCTCCCTCTGCCTGTGTCTCTGCCTCTCTCTGTCATGAATAAATAAGTAAAATTTAAAAAAAAAAAAAAGAGAGAATTAGGAAAATGATTCTTTGATCTTTTACATCACACACACAAAAAAAAAATTAAGGAATTTTTCTAGCTGAGGGGAACACTACCAGGAACAAAAGATGGATCGGTTTGATCTGTTATTTCGAGTTCGCCGAGACCACTGCTTTGCTCCCTTTGGGGGAGATTGTCACCCCTGCGACACGACTCTGTGCAAGGTTTTACCAAATGATTTCAGAGTTTGAAAAGTTGGGGACCGAGTCTCCACTGTTCCCGCTGGGCTTGGGCTTGTCCTTGGGGCGGAGATCCACGGGAGAGCAAGGGTGAGGGGGGGCTCCGGGGGCAGGAGATCGCAGCATCTACTGGATCTGACACTCTTGCTTCTGCGGCAAAGCTGGCAGCGAGGGCAGGGAGCACAGGCGGGGCACCGTGACCTGTAAGTCTGAGTCACCAGGAGGAGCCTTCTAAGCCAAACATTTCCTTTTTTAAAAAATTTTTTGATTTTTAATTTTTATTTTTTATTTCTTTTTTTCACCAAACTTTTCTATCAAAGGCTACGTAGGATTCCCTGCCTGGAAGATCTGAGCCGCCGTCTGTCCCCGGTCTAAGGCTTCGGCCAGGAGAGGGCCGAGCCGTAGCCAGGCTCTGGGCGGCCTGAAGTCCAGAGTTCGGCCACGTGGGTAGAGCTAGGACGGGCCCGGCTGTGGCAGGCGTCCCTAACCCATCAGGGCGCCATCCCTCTCGCAGGCCAGCTGTGGCTTCACTGCCTTTCTCAACCCAGCGCTTCGGGCAGCGGCTCCTGAACTGATCAGAATTACACGGGAGGTAAAACCCATTTGTTCACCACCCCCTCCCACCCCCTACGTTAGGGTATAGTGTGAACCCCCCAAATGGTCTGAATGTTTCTGAGTAGGAGGCTGTTCTGGGTTCTGGCTCCCTACCAGAGCCCAGAGGAGAATGGCCATCCCTGTTACCATCACCCATAGGGTTTCTTGTTTCTTTTCTTTTTTTTTTTTTAAGATTTTATTTATTTATTCATGAGAGACACACAGAGAGAGACAGAGACATTGTGCTCAGGGATGTGGGACTCGATCCCAGGACCCCGGGATCACGCCCTGAGCCTAAAGCAGACGCTCAACCACTGAGCCAGCCAGGTGTCCCACCCACAGGGTTTCTTTTTTTTTTTCTTTATCTTTTTTTTTTTTTAAGATTTTTATTTATTTATTCATGAGAGACACACAGAGAGAGAGAGGGGCAGAGACACAGGCAGAGGGATAAGCAGGCCCCAGGCAGGGAGCCAGACGTGGGACTCAATCCCAGGTCTCCAGGATCATGCCCTGGGCTGAAGCCGGCGCTCAACCGCTGAGCCACCCGGGCTGCTCCCCCCCCCCGACAGGGTTTCTACTGAGCACATGCTGGCACCCTGGGTGCAGAAAGGCTGAAGCTAGCTTTCAACCTCCGAGGACGTGACTCTTCTTGGAGAGAAGAAGGGCAAGGTGGCCTGAGATGCATGCCAGGTCAGGTGTTGGATCGAATAAACAGCAGTGTAAGAAGAGGAGCTGAAATCCTGGGGGACCCAAGTCTGCGAAAGAACTGTCTTGTTGCTGCTCAGTAGCAGGGCCGACTTCTTTTGGATATGTTTACTTGGTTGGCCATCTGTGTGGAATGGGGAAAAAATGCCTCCATGGGGAAGCTTGGGGAAGGCAAAAACTTAACAATTGAATCTAAGAAGGAACATGGTGGGAATCCCCGGGTGGCTCAGCAGTTTGGCACCTGCCTTCGGCCCAGGGTGTGATCCTGAAGGCCCGGGATCGAGTCCTGCGTCGGACTCCCTGCTTGGAGCCTGCTTCTCCCTCTGCCTGTGTCTCTGCCTCTCTCTCTCAATGTGTGTGTCTCATGAATAAATAATAAAATCTCTAAAAAAAAAAAAAAGAAGAAGAAGGATCATGGCATGGCAGTAATGGTCACTTGTTACCTGTCCCTTTCTCCTTGGTTGCTGAGCTGTGTTCGAGAAGAGGGTAGTTAGTTCACTGAAATATTGGAATCGTGGGGGTCAGGGAAGGCGAGAGCTATGAGGGAATAAGTAAATGGATATTTGGGTGATTTGTTTTCTCTTGGGCTGCTCCTCATGGTGGGGTGCAGTCGGCTAAGGAGGTCAGAGAGAATGTTTGCTTTAATTATTTGGAGTCAGAGGTACATTTCCAGGTGTGGATTCTTGACATCATGCGTATAAGAAATCGAGCTAACGTGGGAAGTGGCTTTCGCAAGGAGCTTCCTCATGACATGTCTTTGAGTGCGGCTCACCAGGACTGTGCATTATTTGGTAGGTTTCTGTATCATACTTTGTCATATTTATGACGTTTGGGTTTTGTCACTCTCAGTGTTTCATGTGCAGTTTTGGTGTCATGCTCCTATACTAAGTGACTGAAGTTAAAATGAAAAAAATTTCTAAGGGACAAGGATAGTCCTAGGATTGAATATTAATTATTCTGTAGCAGGCCACATAAAGCGACTCACTGGTAGTTCAGAAAAACAGTCCTTAAACATGACAAATTGATTTTTTTTTTTTTTTAGGGTAAAGGACATACGCTATTACATTTGGTATAATGTGGCCTAGCTATACCCTACCCTGAAATTCATTTTTTAAATGTTTCCTGGAGCAAGCCC